AACTCTATGTTTATGTCATTAAAAAGTGTAACAATATCACTACTGGACAGAAAAAGGTTAGTGTAATCGGCAAACATCACTGTCGTTAATTTTGAGGCATTATGCAGATCATTAACATAGACGAGAAAAAGGAGTGGCCCCAGTATAGACCCCTGTGGAACGCCACATGTTATATCTAGCAAATTTGTAGAGGAGGATACATCAATTTGCACAAACTGTTTACGATTGCTTAAACAGCTTTTTAGCAAATTTAGAAAATTTCCGCTGATTCCATAGTTTTTAAGTTTTTGAATAAGAATCTCATGATCTATCGTATCAAAAGCTTTTGGTAGATCAATGAAAACGCCAAGAGTAAATTGTGATTTTTCAAACGAATCTGCAATATTTCTAGTTAAATGAAGTATTGCGTGTTCAGTGGAATTATTATTTTTAAATCCATATCGACTGGTATTTAATATTGTATTTTTAGAAAGATGATCATATATTTTATTGTAAAGAATCCTTTCAAAAACTTTTGAAAAACCAGAGAGTACAGAAATTGGACGATAATTAGTTATATTTGATAGTTCCCCTCCTTTAAAAATTAGTGAAACTTTGGCGATCTTTAGTTGGTGAGGAAATATCCCCTGTTTTATTAAACAACTAAAAACTTGGAAAAGAATAGTTTTAATGTTCTCATAAGATGCAATTAAAATGTTACTATTTATTCCATCCGGGCCTTTTGCTTTATTGGTTTTTAGCATTTTGTTAGCACATTCAAATTCTTTCATGGAAATTTCAAAATTATTTAGTACAGAAATTATGGGAAGGGTAAAATAATTTGTTGAGTTAGTTATAATTGGAATATTTTTAGCTAAGTTTGGACCAACAGTTATAAAATAGTTATTTATCTGATTTGCTATATCTTTTGGATTATTTAAAAAAACATCATTGTTTTTAATAACTTTTGCCAAGTTGCTTGTTTTACTCTTATAGTTGCCAGTAATTTCATTTAAAATTTGCCACGTGCGCTTTGAGTTATTTTTAAACTTCTCTAGTAAGTTTGAGTAGTATTTTTTTTTTAAGTTTTTTTCTTTGACATTCAAAATGCTTCACGTAAGTTTTATAAATCTCCTTATTTTTATCAGTTTTGGACTTTAAATACTTTATATATAATTTTTGTTTAACTTTGGAAGATTTTCTAAGTTCTTTTGTAATCCATGGCGACTTAATACTTTTTTTTGTAAGGCTTACTTCGTATTGAGGAAAGTTTGCGTCATAAACTTCAAAAAATGTTTTAAAGAACGAGTTATAAACTAGATTTGCTTCAGATGAGAAATTTATATGTTTCCAGTGCAGTAATGATAGTTGTTCATTAAACAGCATTAAATTTGCTTCACTGAAACATCGTTTAAAGAAAACTTGATTTGTTATCGGTACTAACTCAATGTCAATATTTATTGAGAAAAAAAATCGGAAAATGATCAGAAACATCACTTTTAATTAAACTCTTTTTGATGGATTTATTAAAAGTATTCGTTGTCATAGTGTTGTCTATTAAGGAAGCAGAATTTGAAGTTACCCTTGTTGGTTTATTGATTAACGGAATTGCGCCGGTATTGTTAACAATAGATATATTTTTGTATTATTATTTAGTTACTAAAACGGAACGTCACAGTTAAATTTATCAAAGAGTAGGACTAAGTCATTTTTAGTCAATACGAATTGAAAAAGATGCGTATTTTTTAATTCTAAACGAAAACAATTAATTCTAAAGCTAAGTTCACCTCCCCAAGGCTTTAGAGAGGACCACCCCAGTCACAAAGCTTATTCTTTTTTCTGTATATTTATTTGTTTATTTACAACTCTCTCTGAACTCTAAACTCCGAAACACGTTCGTTGTTAAACAAGACCGCTGCGCATAAACTTATTTATTTACCACAGAAAAGCATTCGACAGATTTACGGTCCTATCCTTATTGATAATATTAAACTTGCCCAGATGTGGCGTTGAACCACGGATCACTAGTTTCTGAGGCAAGCACACTAACCACTGCGCTACGGCTGCTTAAATCAGGTTAAACAAGACCGCTGCGCATAAAGTCAAGATTAAACAAGACTGCTGCGCATCAAGCCAAGGTTAAACAAGACTGCTGGGCGTAAAATCAGGTTAAAATAATACTTTCAGAGGCATAGAGTGGATTTGAACCTCGAACATAACTAAACAAAATACATAATTAAAATTAACTGTCCTGTTAGCAAGAATGCAGTTGTTTTGGTACCACACTTAAATAACTACAATCAATGACTTTTAATGTTAATTAACAAAAAGCAATATGTAAACATCAATTTTGATGTCTAACTGTGGTTAATAAATTAGAGAGATTTTGGACCATTGGTTCCGTGCTTAACAACTTTTGCGTTTTAGAAGCCTAAAGAAATCCAAAAAGTATTATTGGTTTTTTTATAGGTTAATGTAGTCACATTAACTTTGTTAAAGGGTAAAATTCAAAATTTTTAAAGGTGTTGCACTATTGCTTAACCGATAACTTTTTTTCAAAATTTATAGCGAATTCATTTGCGATGGAACCTATTTCTACATTTTTTATAATACATAACTTTAAGTTTGCATCATTTTTTTATATTATATTTTATTATATCGCTTTACATTTCTGAAACTTTTCAAAGATTTTTTTCGATTTTTATTTTTTAAATTTTTATCATTAACTTTTATGTAAAGATTATTTTAATCATTTCTGATAACGTTGCTATAATAAATTTGTGCAATAAAAATTGAAATTCAGAAACCAGTCTCCAGTTTTCTTAAATGGAGTTGCAAAATAACTTTTATTACGCATTAACTCAAGAGTCTACAAAGTTTCGAATATTTTTTTCACGAACAAGTTTTGACTAACGGCATCAAACGCACATCTGAAATAAAACTGATTTCGCCAAGATTTTTATCATAATTAGAAAAATCCTTTTTTGCAAATGAAGTAAAAATTTTTTTCTATTGTTTGCGAATATAACAACACCAACATGACTGACAATGTTTTTATTCTTTCTTTTGTTGTTTGGAAATTTCTTGATCAAAATGACTTTTAAATCCTTTTTATGATCCTATCAGCTCATCTCCCAGCTTGTACACATACTTAGGTAAAACGTCAGAACAATGTTGCAGGTTATGTTGGTACAACATTGGTTGTCAACTTTGTTTTGATATCATATTGGTTACAAATCCAATGTGTTTTTTAACAAAAAAAATCCTACGTTAGCACAGTACTGCATTATAAGTTGGCAAAGTGTATTATTTTACGTAGATTCAACGTTGTATTTTTTAGTTGGCACAGTATATTTTTCGTTGGCTCATTTGATATTTATCGGAATAAGATTTTATTAATGGTTTTAAATTTATATATATATATATATATATATATATATATATATATATATATATATATATATATATATATATATATATATATATATATATATATATATATATATAATTATATATATTATAAATGTAAAAAATAAACAAAGTTTATAAACAAATTCAGACCTGAACGATATTTTATTTGCTTGTGGTTTGATATTTAAACATTTACGGTAGTTTTTATGTTTGAATGTATAAGTTGTACGAACGTTGTACAACTTATACATTCAAACATGTGTTTGTAAAGTTGGGTTGTATACATTGCACAAACGGGTTGTATACATTGCACAAACGAATCAATATTAGATTAAATAAGTTGAATCAAACCTAATCCATATACATTAAATCAACGTTTAGTGATTTACATTGGATCAATGTTGGGTTTAGATCGTAAAAACAGTCAAATTTTGCGATGGTTTTACATTTGTCGCCCCAATGTATCTGTGCACGCTGTTTTTAGTTGCGTCAGCATAGAACCATTTATCTGTATTATTGTTAAAAACGTAACATTGGATCAGCGCTGGATTTGCATCGGAAAAAACAGCCTACGTTCGCAATGGTGTGCTAGCTCGGTAGCACACCATCGCGAACGTCGGCTCGGCAGCTTCTTTTAATACAAGAGCTCATCAGCTCTTTTTTTAATAAAAAATAATTTTTTTAGTAGTTGATCTACTCTATAAATTTATTTTCTTAGTGTTTATTTTTGTATCTAGAAACTATATATTGCTTTCTCTTATGCAAATGCTTTTATTTGTAAATTAACTGAAACTAAAAAAATATTTTTGTAAACGTAAGCTAAAGATCTTTTTTTCAAAACGTAAACCAAATTTTTTTTTACTTCTATTGTTTTGAGGTTTATTTTTACTAAGTAATATATTTTCTATATTTTCAAAAATCATTTAAATTTAAAAAAAGAGAAACCTTCTTGACTAGAATGGCTTCAAATATATAATAACTTGGATTTTTTTTTTTAATTTAATATTTTAAAAGAAGGAAATTGTTTCTGATACGAAAAATTTTCAACTTGTTTTTGGATTTTAGATTAATCGTAGCTCCAAATAACTACTTAATCAAAAAAAAAAAAAAAAAAAAATCTTCATTTATTATGGATTTCTATATATAAGAACGATTATATAAACTTAGTGTCAAAAAAAAATTAAAAAACTTTTTGACTCTCATTAGCGATTCATTAAACAATACTTCATAATAAATGAAGACAATTATTTTTAAAACAATTATTTTGAAATTAAAAAAAAAAACTTTATTAAGGTATGTGAATTTTTTTTAAACATGTAAAAACAACTTATGTTACAATTTACTTTTAATTTTTAATTCTGCTTTTTGTTTGTTTGTTAAGATTGCGATGCTATCAAAAAATTAGAAGATTTCAAACTCTTAACGAGAACAGATGAGCGACTAAGAACAATTGGAAGCTCATTATTAAACAAAATATTATCCAGAGGTTTCTACAAATGGCATCCAAACGTTATAAAAAACATAGCTTTAAGCGGGAGCTGTTTTGAGGGTGCTGTTGTTGCTCGCTTTTTTAAAAAAAATTCTGATTTTGATGATGAATTAAATAGAGAACTTGAGATCGATATAGAATTTACTACAATTAAAATAAATAGCGACTTAAAGCATTACGTTGAAGACATCTCTGATAAATACGGCTTTGTCAAGGTACGTGCTGATTTAGATATGTTAATGGCTTCAAATATTGGATGGGATGTTTCTATACAAAAACTCCAAGAGTATTTACCAAAAATTTGCACAAATGGATATCTTCAGCCTTTTAGAATTAAAAAAATTGCACTTGAAAAAGCTAAGTTAGATTTAACTGAACAAAGGTTTGGCGAACTTTTCTTCGCTATTGTATATAATGCAAAAATTTCTGAAATTTCTACAAAAAAAACCGAGCTAGTTACAAATGCATCGTTTGCAGCTGAATTTTATGTTCAGGTTAAAAATAAAAACGTTCTCTTGTTTTCTTACGATTTTGTAATTTTGTTTGAAATTGGTTGGTGGCCTGATATAGCTTTGGAATGGAAAAACCGAGCAAGAAAGTGGCCCAAAGATCAAAGCCTTATTGATGAACTTACTAAATCATGTTTTATCATAGCTAAATCAAATGCATCAGATAAATTTGACACGGAGTCATATACTTGGCGATATTCTTTTTCAAATATTGAACGTGTGCTAATCAGTATGCGTAGTTCGCAGCAAAATTTAATTTACCTCATCTTCAAAGCAATGTTTTATAAATGGATTAAACCAATCAGTTCTACTCATGTTTTTTCTTTTGTTGCAAAAAACATTATGTTAAAAGCTTGCGAAGATTATCCTCCGCAACATCAGATGTGGAATGAAACTTACAAATCCACTAAAGAAGCGCTAATATACTTGTTTCTTCAGGCTTACACAGCATATGAAAATGGAAAACTCGAATACTACTTTATTAACAAAATCAATGTTATTGAATCTGTTGATTCGGTAATTAAAGAAAAAATAAAAGCGCAAATTCTGTCTATTATAAACAATTTTGAAATGCATTTCTTTTTAAATGTAAGCCAAGTTAATATTGTTGTTGAGGACATGGTTAAAAACATGAATGCATTTGATAAAATTTTAAACGAGACAAACAATGGCGATTATTCAGATTTTTTAAATTTAGAATTTCTTATCAAAAATTTTGATTTTTTATTTGATAAATCACTTTTGAGTTTGTATAAAGATTTAACTAACATGCACAGACGATAGTACGAGATAGTTCATAACAAAGCTAATACAACAACAACTAAAGTTCAAAAAAAATTTACAATTTAGAAAATATTCATGATGAGATTGCGAGTGCTTTTAACTGGATCAGAAACTATATCTGCAGCTATATATAAAACTATATCTACAGCCAGGGCCGGCGCGAGTTGTTGTCACGTGGGGAACGAGTGAGGTGCCATTACCACTTTTGCTAACTAAAAAAAAAAAGCCCCCGTTTTCAGAAATTTGCCGACTGCCTTATCAGCATTTGTTGACTGACTGTCTAAATTTACCGACTAACTTGTCAAAAGGGTCTATATTTGCCAACTAACTAGTCAAAAAGGGTCAAATTTGCCGACTAAATCAAAAACAAATCATTGATTGGATAGGGAGGGGGGGTTACACGCCCTAATTGCGCTGGTCTTGTCTACAGCTGCTAATAATATACTATATTACAAATACAAATACTATTAAAAAATAAGATGAAAGAAGAAAAGCTGGAGAACTGTTTTCTTAGCTTTTTCGTTAATATATATTGCTTTTTTGTTATTTGTATTTGAGTAGCATAACGATAGGCTCGTTTCTACTCGTTTCCAAAGATACGTTAGTTATTGGTATTATTGAATGCGATTTTTCATTGTCTTAATAATAAAAACTATCAATTGAAGCTTGAAGATTGAGATTTTTTTAAACATAATTGTGAAGAGGTCTGTCCATATATTGCGTCACGCAATTTCGGACTGTTTTTGACTCCTATCTGCTCTTCGTCACAACATAGTAACTCTTAGTAATACGTCCCGAACAATTCATTACAAAACCTCTAACCCCTCTCTTTCCTGAGAACGTAACGTAATCTATGGACAACCCTTTAAGAAAGCACGAATAAAATGCATATAAAACTTGTATATAAAACTCGTCATACAAACCTTCTCGATATACAACTTAATATACAACTCGATATACAAACTCGATATATAACTTGATATACTAACCTTCTTGACCAACATCTTTCATAAAAACACATGACCGTTTATATCTTAAATATAGAAAATCATTTTCTAAATGAAATGTACTTTAATGTAAAGAAACGTTATTTTTTGATTTTAACTTTTAATTATTTTTTCAAATATATAACTTGACATACATTTTTTTAAATTTTTTATCTTATTTTTCATTGTTATATAATAATAAACATATACACCTTAAATATATGTTGTTATGTAAATATATACAACCAGTAATTAGTTGCAAGTATGAAACTTACTGTAAACAATGTACACAAACAGTTTTCAAAAATATAATAAAGCAAAGAGATCAAAGATCTTTAGCAAACTTTCCCCGTTTTTTCATAATTAATGATATTTTTCAGTTTTTATTAATGTTTACTAAAACATTTCTTATTTTTGTACAGTACTTTTATATACATCGTAAAAAAACTATTTTCAAACTATCATTAAAAGAAAATAAATAAATTAAAAATTTTAATAGGTTTTGTCATTATCATTCTTAGTTAAAGTAAGCTATGACCCAATTTATTATAAGAACTGCTTTTTGATCCTTAATGAATTCTTTATTTAATAAAGCAAACAATCAGACCTTATTAAAAATAGTAAATGAGACCGCTCTACCAGGTATATTTTTAGTTTTGAAATGCAGTGAGTAATAATGATATAATATTAACATGTAAAAACGCTTTTCAGAAAAAATTGTGGTAAAAGTAGAAAAACATGAAAATAGTGTTTCAGATGACCCAATAAAGCTACCTTAAAATACTATATGCACACAACTGCTAGGACGTTTATTTTACATGGTTCATTGATGTAAAATAAGAAGAAGCATGCATTATTGCAATGTGGATTTCATTCCTTCGTGTGCATAACTGACAAAGTAAACCAAAAGGTCTGTATTACTTAACGTTACTATTTTGTTGTCGTCATCATTTGCTTCTTTGATTAAGTTTAAAATTAAGTATTTAGTTTTTAAGAAAATTAAATATAAACGAGAGCTTTTTTCTTTTTTATTTAGTTTTCCAAAATCTTTTATTGCTCCTAATTGTGAATCTAAAGAACACCATTTTTGAATCTTTAGATCAAATCCGCTCAACAGCGTTTACTTAATTTTAATTAAATTAAAAAAAAAAAGTTTATCTGCTAAAGCTCCTAGCTCCTACCTAAGTCTACTAAAGCTCCTAGCTCTAATTTATTTTAGTACATATTAATTGAATATAATTGCCAGGGCATAGGAATTGAGTTGTAATTGAATATAATATAAAAGCACAACATTTTTATCAATTTAATTAAAAAAAAAGTAATCATAAAGAAATATTTAAATCAATTTTAAAGTAATAGATAATAGGAAATAATATAATATAAATATAGATATTATACCAAAAATAAAGCCATCTATAAAAAAGAAGACTACCATGGTGCATATAAATTCGACATAGTTTGCTCTTTTTCACCTATATACTCAAATATCTTATTGTTAACCCATGGTTTAATCCGTTTTTTAACTATTCTATTAGAATACTAAGAAAAAATTTATAATTAAGAAAAATTGCTAATAATCGATAAGAACAAATTATATTATTTATTACAAAAATGTTGTTCATTTCACATAAACAACATATTTATTTAAAATCTTATTTAAATTTGGACAAGAAATTTTGATTTTAAAAAGATTTTTGTCAAAAAAAAAACAACTTTGATCTTGCTTTTTCACTCTAGCGCAAGGTTTTAATATGATTTTTCAATGTAAGATTTTCATTAATAAGAACACCAAGAAATATTATAACTTTTGATTGTTTTATTTGAATATTATCTATAAACATTTGAGGCATATCATTTTTCCAAAAGATATTTTTTAGATTTAGGATGAAAAAGACCCCAGTTGGTTTTTTCTGTATTAATTTGACAACTTATTTTATTTTATGTTTGGGCAATCTTGTCATTTTAATTTTTTCGTCTTTTTATAATTCACAGACCTGATCATTTAATAGAAATATCAGCAAAACATCATACACTATAATATTTACGCTAAAAAGACGCTATAATGTTTTAAAATCGCGCTAACTACACCGAGTGTAAAGACAAATAATTTTTTTTCCTCATGAATATCATTAGGAAAAATATTCTTCCAATTGAGCGTTGGAACCAAGAAAAGTTATTACAACTAATTTTGAAATAATTTTTAGAAACTTAATCAATTTAGAGTATCAAAGTGTTAATAATAAATGAAAACACGAAAACTCGAAGAGGATCGTAAGATCCTGTCACCGAGAGCCATTTAACAATACAACAATATTTTAAAAATATATAAAATGATAATAAAATGATAAATAAAAATATTTTAAAAATATATAAAATGAAAGGTAAATACCGCTCATCTACATACAAATAAGAAACGTCTTAATTATAAAACACCGTTTAACAAAACCAGGGCTGTGGAGTCGGAGTCAGAGTTGCGGAGTTGCGACATTTTCAGTCGAAGTTGCTAAACAAAATCGCGACTCCGATACCAATAGTAAAACTTCTCGGTATTGTACGTGCATGTACAAAATATTCAATTAACCTTATGTTCATACTAAACATCAAAGAACGTTTCAAAAATTTGTTAAAAAAATTTTTTAAAACTTATTACGTAATATTTTTTAAAGAATTCAAAGAGTTTTTCAAAAATTTTGCTTTGGAGTTGGAGTAGGAGTCGGAGTTGAAGTTGGAGTCGGAGTTATACTCAAAAAATTTCAACTACCGGATTCGTAGTCGGAGTCGTTACTTTTTTTTTACGTCTCCACACCCCTGAACAAAACGTTATAAAATAAAATCAAAAATTTAAATTACATTTAGATAACGCTTATAAAAGAGAAACGAGATCAAAAGAACTCGAAAATATTATCTATTGAGAAAATAACTTTTTCAAGTTTGTTTTTAAAAGTAAAAAATTTCCAACTGTGGAAAGAATCAAAACTTTTTAAAACTATTTGGTTCCACAAAAAAGCTCTGCCATAAGATTCAAGAAACCTTCCATTATTTGTATGCGAATAATGTTGATAAATAAAATTGTCATTTCTTATATCATATTTATTTTTGAGCTTGATTGCAAGTAAATTTTGAAAAGATATAGAAGTTAAGTTTATCTTATATTTAAATATAAAGCAAATAACTTTAAAATCATTTAGTTGGTATATATTAAAAATGCTCATTTTGAATAAAAGTGGTTTTGCATGAGTAAAACGATCTTTAAAATTGATTAGTCATGCTAGATGCTTCTTGTGCCGATAAAGAGGATCTTGTTACTTTTTTTTAACGCTACTTCATAAGATTTTCATTAAAAAAAATACATAAGATTTTCATTAAAAAGAACACCAAGAAGTATTATAACTTTTAATTGTTTTATTTGAATATTATCTATAAATATTTGAGGCATATCATTTTTCCAAAAGATATTTTTTAGATTTAGGATGAAAAAGAGCCCAGTTAGTTTTTTCTGTATTAATTGACAACTTATTTGATTTGAACCATTTTGAAATTTTTAAATTTGAGTTTTTAAATTTGAGACATTACAAAGATCATTAATATAAATAAGAAAAAGAAGTGGTCCTAATATAGACCCTTGAGGAACACCACATGTTGTATCTAGTAAATTTGTAGTAGAGGATTCACAATTTTCACATACTGTTTAGGATCGCTTAATTAGCTCTTAAGTAATTTTAGAAAATTACAACAGATTCCATATTTTTTTGTTTTTTAATAAGAATCTCATGATCTATTGTATTGAAGGCTTTTGATAGATCTATGAACACTGCAAGAGTAAACTATGATTTTTCAAACCAATCTGCAATTTTTCTAGTCAGATGAAGCACTTCGTGTTCAGTGGAACTATTCTTTTTTAAACCCATATTGGGTTGTATTTAGTATTTTATTTTTAAAAAGATGATCATAAATTTTATAGTAAAGGATCTTTTCAAAAACCTTTGAAAAACCAGAAAATACAGAAATTGGACGATAATTAGTTATATTTAATAAACCCTCACCCCCCCTCCTTTAAGTATTAATGTAACTTTAGCTATCCTTACTTGATTAGGAAATATACCATGTTTTAGTGAACAACTAAAGACCTGAAAGAGTATAGTTTTTATGATCTCATAAGAATCGATTATAATGTTACCATTTATTTGATCTGGCTCCAATCGCTTTATTGATTTTTAGCATTTGTAAGCAAATTCAAACTTTTTAATGGAGACTTCATATTTATTAAGTATAGAAATTATCGGAAAATTAAACTTATTTATTGGGTTAGTTATAATTGGAATATTTTTTGTTAAACTTGGACCAATAGTTACAAAAAAGTTATTTATAAAAAATCATCATGGTTTTTAATAAATTTTGGTAAGTTGCATGTTTTAATTTTTTGATTGCCAGTAATTTCATTAAAAATTTGCCATGTGCGTTTAGCAATATTCTTAAACTTCTCTAATAAGTTTCAGTAGTATTTTTTTTTTTTAAGTTTAATTTTTACTTTTAAAAAGCTTTACGTGATTTTTATGAATTTACTTTATTTTATCTGTTTTTGACTTTAAATATTTAATGTATAATTTTTGTTTAAATTTCGAAGATTTCCTGAGTTCTTTGGTAATCCACAGTTTAAGCTTTTTATATTTGTAGAGTTCTATGGTCAGCTACGCAACGAGCGCAACATGTTTTTAAAAGTTTGACTGACTCATTATATTATAATTTTTAATTTTTTTTTACGTTTACACTCAAATTATCCTTTTTTTTATTATTCACAAAAAAAAAAAGGATAAGAAGACAATTTGAGTAAAATAGAAATAAAAGACAGCGGTCAGCTACGCAACGCGCAAAAAAGCTTGTTTTTTTAATTTAAAGTTTCAATTATTTTTTCTCCGAATCTATAATTTATTTTTTTATAAAAACGTTTTTTTCTTCAAAAACAATTATTTCATTGAAGTTATATTTATAAAAATTTATTAATATAATACTAATTACACGTCAAATAAAAAGTTTTCAAAAAACTATGCGGTCAGCTACGCAACAATCAGCCACGCAACGGAACGCACTCTTGTCAAACCCCTATTCCGACGTTGAGCGTCCTTTGCGTCCGCGAATTTGTGTTTCTAGGAAAAGGGCAAAACGGGGTATATAGGGATTTGCGCAGCGGTGCGCACATACACCAACTAACTTTTAGAGAGAACATGCAGCGGAGTGTGTAAACAACGACTGAGGGTTTAGGGTGGGTAGGTTCTCTTTTAAATGAAGAAGTCGTTTTTTTACATTTTCGGACCTTAAGGACAGCGTCGGAATAAGGGTTTGACA